ATATATATATATATATATATATATATAAAATAATTATAACAATTGTATAACTAATGTTTAATAAATTATTAATTGTCATGTTCATTATCATTAATATTAAAAATATTCCCTAATAACAAATGCATATATATTTAATTTTGAAAATTTTAAATAATTACGATTTAATTTAAAAGAAAGATTGAAGTTTGATTTTTTTTATTTTGAAATTATTAAAAATTTCTCATATTAATTATTATTAAATAATTTTAATTAAATAATTAACAAATGCAATATAAGAAACTTTTAAAAAAAATATATAAAATTACTGTTCAATACTTCAAAACATCTATTGTTAATTACTATATCAATATCATCTCCACTATGAAAAATATAAAGTATTGAATCAATTCAATATCTAAACAAATGGGTTGACTTATTACACTTATGTTATTAAAATTGATAGCGTGAAAAAATCGAACGAAAAATAAAATAATATTTTTGTTTTAAAAAATAGATTATAAATCATTTCAATTAATTTAAATCGACTAACCTCTATTGTTGACAAGAACTTACTAATATTGTTGAGTATTTTATCATAAGATGATTATTTAAAAATATAAATGATGTTTATTTTAACAAAAATAGATTATATCTCATTTCAATTAATATTCTTACTTTACAAAATAACATTATATATGACTAGTATAATCAAAATATTATGATGTAATTTCTCTTTTAATAATTGGTTTAATTTTTAAAAAACGTAAGAATTAAATTGTAGATCATATGATTTAATCATTTTTTTACATTTACATTTTATTCAAATATTAGAATCGAATCGTATGATTTAAATGGATTAATCTCAAGTCCTTTCAATTATTATATTATATTATATTTGTTAATAATTTAATTAAAATTATTTAATAATTGTGAATATGATAATTAAAACTCTAATATAAATATATATATATATATATATATATATATATATATATATATATATATATATATATCTTGCAAGTAATTTCACAATTATTTCTTGTCTCAGTGGTTTAGACTGCTTTACATGTGTGTGGTAACCCAAGTTTGAATTCCACACATCATATTTTGAGCTATTATATATAACATCATATATATATATATATATATATATATATATATATATATATATATATATATATATATATATATATATATATATATATATATATATATATATATATATATATATATATATATATATATATATATATATATATATATATATATACACACATATATATATATATGTTTTTTTATATATATTAATATATATGTGTGTGAGTGGAGAGCGCACACTCGCGAGCCAGAGCTCGAGATATATATATATTTTATATAAAAACACACCCTCTATATATCTATATATATCTATATACACTCTATATATATTTTATATATATATATCATATATATCTCTCTCTCAAATATATATCACATATATATTTTAAAATATATATTTTTTAACAAAAACAAATATCTGTGTGTGTTTATATAAATATCTCTCAAACATTTAATATCAAAATCAAGAATCAGTCTGAGTCTTCATTAGCAGCCGTCGCAGCCGCTTCGGCTTCGGCAGCAGCAACCTCAGCCGCAATTGCTCGCTCCTGGTCCGCAGCTATTGCTCACGCACGCTCCGCATTAAGAGCGTGTAATTGCCCTAATAGTCTTGCACTATTCTAATCGTATGAATACAGTTTCTCTTGTGTAAGCGGAATTCATCATTGTCAGTTTCAAAGAGAAGCAAACATTTCGGACAAAGCGATCTAGGCTTGTGTTCATTCCCCATAACGGCCTTGCACGCAAAAAAAACAGACCAGCAATCACACAATTTAGTTCGAAAAAAAATAATTTATGCAAAAATTATTCACAAATGGAAATCCCCTAAAAATAAGTAAAGATTTATTACAGATCCAAGAGAGCAAATAAATCACCAATTTATTTCACTAAATCAAAAATCCCATTTCCGGTGACAAGCATAAATCGTACGTAATCATGGTATTATTATGCAAGTATTTATAATTCCGGTTACTTGGCCCATTTAGTGATGAAACGGCGGCCCGTTGGCTTTCCTTATATATTGCGAGATTAACTTTCCAGCATTAACGTATTGGGCCCGTTGGCAGGTCCACGATGGTTCCAAGGTGTGCAACTGCTACCCTTGATTTCTTTAAAAAAATATTCCCTATTAAGCTGTTATATAATGTATCATGAGTTTTTTTAATGTAATGTTATTCTGGTTTGAATTTTAAAGAGTTTTCTCCAAATCATGAGAGGTACAGAGATAAAACTCCACTAGTACTCAAATCGTGAACCGGCCCGTGTACCGGCGAACCATGAAATAGGTGAATCGTGAACCGTCGGGCGACCCAGCGGTTCACACGAATTTAAAAAAAAAAATTAAAGAAAGCCGAATGTTTGAAATGCGGCCTCATATGTTTCCTTCTTTTTTAGCCGCCTCTCGACCCATTGTGCGTTGGCGAACCCTTCTTTCTGGTGGAATAGGGACGCACATGTCAATGTGAATTGTATATTCAGCCACGGCAACACTTTTGTGATATTTAGAGCATTTTCGGGGCTCCTGTCGTTTGCCCATTCTGTAAACAGCATTAATCAACTACAATTCATTTCTGCATTCATTAATTAATGCATTCATTGATTAAAAAACATTAAACTCAACATCATTTATAATTCCCAAATCATTTAGGACATTTTCTGGGCTTGACTACAATTCATTTCTGCATTCATTGATTAAAAAGCATTAAACTCAATAGCATTCATAATTCCCAAATCATATAGGGCATTTTCTGTGCTTGCGTCGTTTGCCCATTGTGTAAACAACATTAATTAACTACAATTCATTGCTGCATTCATTAATTAATGCATTCATTGATTAAAAAGCATTAAACTCAACAGCATTCATAATTTCCAAATCATGTGAATATGTAGAATAAAATTCCCAAATCTCAAACACAATAAGAAAAAATCCCCTAAAGATTAGACAAAATCAAACGTGATACATATATAAAATTCAGAATAGAAGGAAACATCTATTTAAAAAGTGAGATAAGTAGACAGGGAAAACAACACTATGTAGAATTAACAAATAGAAGGAAATCCACAAATGGAAAGCTTACAGATTGAACAGTTTTCTAGGGCAGCGGCGGAATCACAGACCCATTAAATGACCCAATAAATAAAAGAAAGTAAGAAAGATAGTACGACAGCTTTCTTCGCGTGAAATATTTACAACACAACAGCTTTCTTCGCGTGAAATTCCCCAAATTGCTAAAAAATGCAGTAGTACGCTTCTTCAATCATGGGTGGATGCTCATGATGTCTTCAGATGAACAAACTCTTTTTCTCTACGATCCTCTTAACAATCAGACGATTGAGCTCCCCCCATCCCGAGCGATTCTCACTTTACTACAATCTCTTTTTTCCACCCGCCAACTTCCCACAACTGTGTACTTATTGGAATTCAATCTGTCACGTGCATGTCCACCAATTTTGCATGATGGAAAAATATATTTTTTGGATGTTAAAGGAAATGTGGCAGTCTTTGATATGAATAATGTTGTTTGGTCATTGGTTATCTATTCAAGGTGCTTGAAGAAACGTCGGCTTCGTAAAAACATGATTATTAAAGAACATTTCTTGATCAAGCCTGGCGGAGAGGAAGCTATTTTTGCTGTATTTGTTGTTCATGACGAAATAAAGGTCAAAGTATTTAAGCTCATGGATGAATTTAGGTGGAAATTGGTGGAAAATTTAGGGGATCGAGTGTTTTATGTGAGTCACACGTCCGCTTTTGGGTATACAACTGACAATAAAAGCAAAAGCATGGCGAACAAGATCTTCTTCCCTAAAATTCACGATGATAATGTTGTCTTCTACTCTCTAGAAACGCATAGATATCATTCTTTTGAGGGTGACTATTCTAGCCACAATTGTTACAATTTTGAAATTTTGAATTTCGCAACTTGGGTGATTCCAACGACAAGGAATTTGCAGCTTTCGAAGGAATTGATTTGGTGTCGGCGAGTGGATGAAATTATAGCCTAGTAGGACTTTATGTATTTTATATTCTGTCAATATGTCTCATGTTATGCTCTCTTTCATTAATTTTCATAGTAGGATTTTTGGAAATTGACCATTGCTCGGGGTGATTGTAATTTTTCCTACTCGGTGTTTCTACCTTATTATTTATTTGCTTTGTCCCGTCTAATCTCAACCGGCAGCACGGACAACTAGATTCTTTAAAAAAAAAATCTGATAAAACTAAAAATCATGCATTATTAAAAGAAGAAAAATATTCAGATACGTTTTAATTTATTTTTCAACATTAATCTTAATTTTAATAGGTCACATACAAATAATAATATTTCTAAAGTTCATATCAAAGGACAACATAAACATTACACCCATAAAAATATTTTCATTATTAGGCCATTGCGAGTACAACATAAGGTATTATAGCTTTGCGTAGTAGAATTTGTAATATTTTTAATTAAATTACACATAGGATTCGCCTTAATAGTTGATAGCCATAAAATAATAAAGAAATAAAAAAGGGTAAACAACACTTAAACCCCTTTTGGTTTGGACATTTTGCACATGACTTTTTTATGGTATGAAATTAGACACATAAATCCTTTGTGGTTTAAACTTTTTGCACCCTTCTCGTATCAAATTAGACACATAACCCCCTGATGTTTTGATGGAGGTACCTCTATTTTTTGTTTTAATAATTATTTAAACTGGGGATATGGCATTTTGTAATTTCAGAGTTTAAATCAAATGTTGGTAATGTCAAATGTTTGACAACTAACACCTAGGGCCACATTAAATTTCAATTAATGAGGAATACTACGTAATCTATTTTAATGAGTTTATGAATTTCAATTACTGAGTAAAACTTTTCTTAGAGCTACTCCAACGGGTTATTAAATGAGTTATCAAATCCCTTAATCTCCATTTGACTCCCCAATTTTAAAACTCTCTTAATGGGTTATTAAAATAGAGTTCTATTTTGATAACTCATTCATCGGTAAAAATACATCCCAAATAATAATTATTAAATATTCTCCTAAAAAATAGGAGCACGTGAAAAAAAGAAAAAACTCAATAAAATTGAGTTTTCTTTTATTTACGTAAAAATCTCAAAAAAGAAAAACCTCAACATAATTGAGTTTTCTTTTCTTTACGTAAAAATCTCAACAGAATAAAATTAAATTCTTTACATCTTCAACAAATTTCCACTGTAAAAAATCCCAAAAATATCTCAACAGATTTTTTTTTCTCTAGAGCTTCAACAAAGTTCCACGGGAAAAAGAAAAATCACTATGTATATATAATTTTTTTTTTCGGTTTTGAAAAGGAAGGAACTTGATTAATATTGACTTTGAGGATAGTTTACCAGAAAAATCGGTTTGTATGGTTATTTAAAATGGTTAAAAAATAAATAATATATAAATAATCATAAATTTGTTTCATAATTGTTTTTTAATACTTGTGGTTGGAATTCACTAGTTGTATAGAGATATCAAAGTATAATCCTGATTATCAAATGAGTATTTGATAATCTCATTTGATAACAATAGGTTGGAGTTGCTCTTAGGTTTGAATCGTTTGATTACGAAAGCTAGTTAGTGACACGTTCTTTATATGTAATTTTAGTAAATCATTTATATATTCGTTTACCAACTTAATTAATTGAAATAAACATTAAAATATTTGATTATGAAAAACATATTAATAATCTAATGAATACAACTTATTGCGATCCAATTTTTTTTATGTGCTAAAAAAGAATGGTACTAAAATTATTATATGAATATACTATTGATTATTGAATTTGGAGGCTTAGAAATTTAATCTTGTTATCTTGATCAACATGAATCAATTAGTTGGTTCACACTATGTATACCGGGTGAAATATTTCGCGTATATATTTTATTATTCATTTAAATATAAACATAATATAATTGACCAAACAATTCATATTTTTCAAATATTCTTTTATTCTCCAACGGGATTTTCGTTATCTTTAAGGGTAAATTACAACCATCCCCTGAGATCTGATTAAATTACGTAAACCCCCTTTTATTTGGGTAATTGCAACCACCCCTCAACTATAAATCTTCTTACATGTCAATCCATGTGGTTTCAAATTTAGTAGAATTTTTTAGATTATATGGAATATTCTCAAGTTTATACCCGTTTTATCTCATTCGAGCTTCACATTTTGAAGCAAGATGATCATAGGATGCGCTTTTCGGCTTGTATATATATCAAATTGTAGTGCATCAGAAACTGTATTTTTGCACAAAACGAGTACAAACTAGAGCACATTCCCCGGAATCCAGATGATTACGTGGAATTTAATACCATAAGAATTGATGTGTAAGAAAATACATTACTGATAGGGTAGATGTAATTATCAAAATATGAAGAATTTTTTCGTAATTTAACCGTACTTCAGGGATGGTTGTGGTTGTAATTTACTCAATCTTTAATCAAATTGGGGTTTCCCACTTCCCATCCCCAAACGTAACAGTTAGAATTTTGCTTGTGAAATCTATGCAATTTGCTATGCATTTATTTTCCACAATTAAAATGGTATTAATAGTTAAAACTTAAAAGCCATTATTATCCCTTATAATCGTTTTTTTTTTGGCCAAAAATCACTCATGTGAAATCTTTAATTGTCGAAAACACTCTTGTGTTAAAAAAATTAGCAATGATCTCCCTATAAAAACAAATAAAAGCAAATAGATCCCTGACAGCTTATTGCGAGCTAAACTCGATTTGACTCGATTTCAATGGTCAGATTCAAAAACAAGTTTACATCAAGGTTGTCGGCTTACAATAGATCTACATGAAGCCTAACAATAATGACATTCCCCAACAACTCTCGAATCTTAGCATTCGTGTATTTCACCAGATATATTTATGTACATCTACAAATTAAAACCACATGGTGTATTTCATCAGGTGTAAGAACCCATAAGCTTAGCAATGGATGTAAAGAAGGTACATTACATTACAATTAACCCATCGTAAATGATAAAATGTTACATTTACTCCCTTGATGATATTATGGTTTAGAAAAAGTAGCAAATCAATAAGACAACCTTTCTCTCACTTACATAAGAATAAATCGACATGAAATAAACAATATTATACGCTTAGAAAACATTGGTACAAAATTAAATAATTATTTCAAACGTGGCACATAACACAAGGCCACTTTATAACCTCACAATCATCTTAAAAGGCAAACAACATATAAGAGGTGAAATAGAAAAAAAAAAGAGAGGGAATCAAATGAACACAATTTATCAGGATGCATGTATTGCATCATGAAATGAGATACATAAATAGGAATGTATATAGTAATAAATATGATCTAGGGATCACACTCTTCGGATTTCTTCTTGGCATCCTTCTTCTCGTGATGCTCGTGAAACGCAAAACCAGCAGCTCCGATCGCCGCCACCGCCGCTATCTCTTCTTGTACCTTGTGTTTGTGTGCATTCTCCGGGTCCTTTTTCGCCTTGTGCTTCTCATGCTGGTTATTAAATCCACCATTTAATCAATAATAATAATAATAATAATAATAATAATAATAATAATAATAATAATAATAATAATAATAATAATAATAATAATGATGATGATGTTCGTACCAATGCATATGCACCGGCAGCCATGGCGCCAAGACCGGTCAATTGCTCGACATGTTTGTGATGTTTTTCTTCTTTAGCATAATCATGGACTACTTCTTCTTCTTCTTCGCCTTCCTTCTTGTGGTGAAATAAGCTGTGGTGCTTCTCTTCGGCCATGTTGATATTATTTTAATAATACTCGCTAATTATGTTTTGTGGTACATGTATATGCATTTCGATTACACTATTTATAAGCAATGTCATAAGTTTTTATTTATTTATTTTATTTATTTTTACATTCATTTGTCCAAGTCTAACATGTCGTGAGAAGCATAAATGGTACGTAATCATGGTATTATTATTATACAAGTACCATAGTTTATAATTCCGGTTACTAGGGGAATACGATGCTACACCCAATGATTTTCACCGGGTGGCTCTTTTCTTGACATGTGTCCTTTTTTATTTATTTTATAATTATATTTCTAAAACCCATTGGGCCATAACTGAACCCGTAGTGGGAATCTTATTAATTAGGGTGTCTGGTTATATTCACCAGGTGTAGCATAGAATTTCCCCCGGTTACTATCACTATTCCGTGAATTACGGAATTTAATTAAGAATATTAGAAGGAAGAAAATGTCTTTTTAACTTTTTTGAGTTTTTTAAGTTGAGAGAAATTTAAAAGAGATAATTTGATTATTTAATGTTCAAGTGATCGTGTTTAGGGGGTGGTTACTCAACTTTGATTGGTTTCTAAAGTCAAATCGCATAATTAATCTTTAAATAAATATAATAAGGTTACACTTGGTGAAATTCATTTTAAACAAAGGCTAATTTGAACGGTTTTGCAGATAATTGGTAATGTTTCCGAGAAAAATCGAAGTTTTCTTTGGATCTATTTTCTGGTAATATAGATTGCTTTAGTAGATATGCATTTATCGTCATTTATACGTATCGACATGTAAAAAAAATATTTCGAGATTTTATTGCGACTTACTTTTATTTTTCCTGTCAATTTTGTTTATTTGTTATTAAGGGACATAAAAGTCTTAAATCTCCCACCAATCATTCTCTATTTCTTTGTTGATTGTTATAATTAAACATGGCAACAATTGGAAGTATATTTAAGACAAAATAGCACTTATTCCATGTGGTTTGAACTTGGAACTTTGTGCATGTGATCATCTTTTACTTATAATATAGCACATGAGCCCCTCGTATTTTAATATATGTACATAACCTTTTTGTACTTACAAAATAATTATCTTCCTAATGAGCATGATTATTTACTAAGTGGAATAACATAAGAGGGTTATGTGCATATATGAAAAGTACAAGGGAGTCATGTGTTCATATTGAAATCACAAGGGGTTATGTGCATAAAGCAAAAAGGGGATTATGTGCTTATATGAAAAGTCAAGAGGGTCATGTGTACAAAGTTCAAAGTATAAGGGGTTCATGTGCTTATATTGAAAGTACAAGGGAGTCATATGCACAAAACTCAAACTACAGGGGTTTAAGTGCTATTTGCCTACGAAATAGGCACAAAACATAAAAAATAAAAATTAATTTCCGTTGCCGGGACTTGAACCCGGTTCTCTCGGGTGAGAGCCGAGTATCCTGACCAACTAGACTACAACGGATTTTTGTTTTTACTTGTTTCGTTAGGGTTAATTTATTATTACTTAGGATTTTCATTTGTGTTATTTGCTCTCTTTTTTTCGGTTATGTTTATCTGCTACAAATAATTGCAACAAAGAATCGGTATAAATGAAACCAAATCACGCTTTGTTACACTTTAATTTGGTTTCAACGATTTAATCATTAGGATTGTAGACTTCACAAAAACCATCATAAGAACCCTAATTTCAAAAGATTATGTTCATTAACCAAACTCTTCGAACTGATTTGACCCTTGAAAGCTCATTTCACAACTCGATTCCTTAACAAAACGAACCAACCTTGAACAGTTTTTTTTTTTTTTCGTTCACTAAACTAAGAAGCTCAACCCGAGCTTGATTATAAGAAAAATAACAAAATATGTATACAAAAAATCAAGTCACTCGATCTCAATTCATGTTAGGCTCGATTAAAGCTCGTTCCAGGCCGACTCAAATATAACTTCCAAAAAAATACCCAAACAACCGTGCATTCAGGTCGACTCGATTTATTTACACCTTTACGCATCAACTTATCCATCCCATCCAAAAACAGCAAAAGAAGAAGCAATCAAGATAGGAATATATAATATTAAACACATGTGTAGTTTCTTTGCCTTGTGAAACTCTTCTTTATGCCATACTTGCTAGTTTTTCCAAACAATTAAACTATTTTTGCCTCAAATACAATTAGATGACACATCCATTAATGTATAAAGGGAACTCGAATTCAATGCACTAATAGTCACTAACTTAATTTTTCATGTGCTTAATCACTTTATTAGCGATGCAAATCGTCATTAATCGACAGATTTAGGAGAACAAAGGTTGCTTGTGTGGTTGAGTTATGACCTTTCTATCCAACAATGTAAAAGTAGACATTGACATTTAATCTGATTATACAACCATTCTCGAACCGCGGTACGTTGTAATAAATCGTATGTACATGCATATATATATGTATACATGTATGTCTATATATTTGGTTCCATAACAATCACATAAAGTACCTAAAGCTTCTCAGGCTGAAGTAAACGAAACGAAACGAAACACTGTAAGAGCTCATTTACAATTTCGGCATTCATAGTTCTGCCTTAGATAAATTCACACACACACACACACACGAAATGCACTTAATTTCTGATTTCCTCTCTGACTAAGCTAAATTGAGTTTATTGCATCTCTTACCCTTGTGTTATACCAAATTGCTAAAAAAACTCCGTGTTACAAATATTAGCAAAAAAAACGCCCTATAATGCTTTTTTTTAGCACACAACCCCCTAAATGGTGCAATTTTAGGGAGTAGTTTGCTAATAAATTTGGATCATGGGTGTTTATGGTATTATTAATAATACGTGGAGTTTTTTTAACAATTACACTAAACAAGGGGGCTGAAATGCAATAAACCAAAGATATTTTCCAAGACTCACTTGTGCTCCAGAAATTAACTTTTCTATTTGTGCTGCTGTAAATACAGAAACATTCCTATATTGGCTCCAGGAGATAAATTAAATAGACCAGAAAAAGACTGCAAAATGGGTATTGTTTTCTTTTCTTTACTGCAGTAGATTTCATTTTGTATATATATATATTTATATATAATAAAAAAAATAAAACCATATTAAAATGATTTCATATTGACATAAACATAATTGGCTAAAGGTAATGTGATAAGTTACCTCAAGAAAAAAGGGAGACAAATATGTGGCGGAAGAAACACAGACGACACGACGAAAACCACCACCAGAGTAGCCGAAAGGTGGCAGCTCCTAAGCGGCACCACCAACTGGAAAGACCTACTGGACCCGCTAGACCTAAATCTCCGGCAATACATACTCCACTACGGCTCAATGGCTCAAGCAACCTACGACACTTTCATATCCGAAAAGGCATCGAAATACGCAGGCGCAAGCCGGTACTCTAAGAAAGACCTCTTATCGAAAGTCGGAATCGAATACAAGGCCAATCCATACAAGTATAGAGTCACAAAGTACTTTTACGCCGCGTCATCGTCTCTAGTGCTCGGTTCTTTGTTAGTTGTTTCTTTGTCGAGAGAGGCTTGGAGCAAGGAATCGAACTGGATGGGGTTCGTGGCTGTGGCTACGGACGAAGGAAGATTGGCTCTCGGCAGAAGGGATATTTTAATTTCGTGGAGAGGGACTATTCAAAATCTCGAATGGGTTAATGATCTTCAGTTCGAATTAGTCTCTGCTCCCGAGATTTTCGGAGAGACAAATAACGAAGGTGATGAACCTAAGGTGCATTTAGGGTGGCGGTCTATTTACACTTCGGACGACCCTAAATCACCTTTCAATAAGACGAGCGCTAGACACCAGGTCGGAAAATTTCGAATTTGATTTTAATTTCCGAAAATATTTCCCAAAATTCAGTTTCTTTTCGAAAAAAAAAAAATTACACTTCCAATATCGATGTTATTATGTATTTTATGTTTATATGCGACTGAAAATTGGAAATTGCGAATTCCGCCGACTCCGATCAGAATATTTCCGATTTTGGAACAAGGTTTTCATTCCAATTTCCGAAAAAATCCGATTTTTCAGAATACTTTTCTTGGGAACAGAATTTAATTAGTTTTTCACTTCCGTAGAAAAAAAATGGAACTTTTCCATAAGCGTTATTTCCAACCCGATTTCCACCCCTAATCTCTGAAAAACGAGAGACAAAACAATAAACGAACTTTCGTTTTTTATGGATTCAAGGTTCTTGATGAAGTTCGGAGATTGGTGGAGGAGTACAAGAACGAGGAGACCAGCATAACTATAACAGGGCACAGTATGGGGGCAGCGGTTTCTACTCTAAACGCAGTCGACATTGTCGCCCAAGGGTACAACAAGCCTAAAGACATGCCAAACAAGGCTTGTCCCGTCACAGCTTTCGTTTTCGCTAGCCCTAGAGTAGGCAACGGAAGCTTCCAGAAGTTCTTCTCGAGTTTGCAGAATCTCCGGATTCTACGAGTCAGAAACGCACGTGATGTGGTCCCTTTATATCCATTGATAGGATATTCCGAGGTCGGAGAAGAATTGGTCATAGACACGGAAGAATCGAGCTATTTAAAAAAGCCGGGAAATTTTAGCAGCTGGCATACCTTGGAGGGTTATTTGCACGGTGTTGCGGGTACACAAGGCAGCAAAGGGGGTTTCAAATTGGAGGTTGACAGAGATATCGCACTCGTTAATAAACATATGAATCTCTTGAAAGATGAATATTGCGTCCCGGAATCTTGGTGGTGTGAAAGGAATAAAGGTATGGTGCAAAAGGAAGATGGGTCTTGGTTACTAATGGATCATGAGCATGATGATTTTTGATCCAATTCTATGTACCTTATCCGAGGAAAAATTAAAGGAAAAATCGAGAACGTAAAAGCATCTTAGTAGATATAAACTATCACGAAATGTAATATATCAAGAATGTGATAAATAACAGGTCAATTTGAGCAATTGTGAAGTTCATTTTCTTAACATGTATCTGAGTTACAAAAAAAAAACGAAACAAGTAAAAACATGATTTTGAACCTGTTTGGCTTTGTTTGATGCATCGAATGAAGACTTAATAACCTTTGTTTGAAGGCACAACTCGGTCGAGTAAATGGGTGCTGACATCATCCATGTCCTTTTTCAATTGTTAAATCACAATAAATCCTAAGAAATTGGAGTATTTCAATTGTTACTCTTTACTGAGCGAAGCCTCGATTCGTTGGATGAGCTGGTCTGCACCCATTGCACCCTCCTGAAAAAAGAAACATTGATGTATAAAATTAGAGAAATAAGGAACGATCATCAACAATTGACAAGAGGTGGAATAATTAATTAAATCGTTTATGATAAGATGAGTTCATTTTTCTAACAAAGAATCGACGCATGTTACAAAGCGTAAAACTTCAACCGACAAAGAAAGTCCAGAAAAATGATATCATTACAGTACTTACAAAACGATCGTGTGGTTTTCCGTTCTTGAACAAGATGAAAGTTGGTAACGCTGCTATGTCGTACTCATTTGCAATGCTGGGGTACTTCTCCGTGTCAATTTTCACGACTTGAATCTTATCAATCATCGAAGCGCTGACCTGTTCAAGAACCGGAACCATGAACTGGCAAGGACCACACCTACAAAACGGTAAAAGCAAAATTATATTCACATCCAAATTTTTTTTTCCCTTTCTTTTTAGCTAATAGAATATCAAATTTACTACTCTTATACAATCGAAGATTATCAAAACGAATGGGATAGAGATCAAGTAATAAGGCATATGAGATATTACCAAGTAGCATAGAAGTCAACGAACACTGGCTTATCAGATTTCTCCAGCAACTCAGCAAACGAAGTAAAACTCTGCTTCGTTGATGCAACCTGAGAGAGTAAAAATATTGAAGTCTAATTATCTGACATATATTATATAAATCAACGTAGTGTACTGCGTATACATGTGTGACCATTGTTTATGTGTGCATTAGGACCTAACGACTCGGAACTATATTTTTTTCCATTGGCTTTGAACTCCAAACCTTCGAGTAAACGATTTTCTTTACTATATTTCAAGTATAAGAATGTCTATCATGTTCCAAACAAATCAACTGTATAGAAAAGTTCAATTCCATCAATTACTTCTTTTCGTTTCCCCTAAATTTCGAATACTTCGATTGTAATAGTAGAGGAACAAAAATAAGATAAAAACGGAAAACCCTTCGATTTCGGACAATTTGCTTGAACATCTTCTACAACTAAATCAGATAATTTTGATATACCAAATGCAGCAAAGTTGAATCATTCGACAACATCAGCATAAAAGTACATCAGGAGAAAAATTCAAACTAACTTCCGACCACAAACCAATAAACAAAACAATTAATTCAAATTAATTTCATTTTTCACTGTATAAAATAGATAATTTACCAGCGTAAGTGTTCGTGGGCGGGGCTTCGATTTGAGGCGGTGGTTCCGAATTCTAGAAATGCGGAGCTCCGAGGGGAACTGAAGTGAGGAAAATTGGGCGAGCTTCGAATTGGAGGATGAACAATACGGCGACGTTTTGATGTTGATGCTGACTGCCGCCGCTGCAGAAATCGCCATTTTCTTTTTCAGGTGTGGCTTGAGATTTTGGGTGGGAGGTGATAAAAGAAGAGAGGCAGGCCTATGCCGACGCTGGACGGAATATAATATTAATATAATATATAAACAAGAAAGGGAGATATATTCTTTTGGAAGATAAAATATATTGCAATATATGTCTTTGTAGTAGTCGTCAACAAGACTCTAAAATCAAGATTAATACATATTGTTTTGAACATAATATACTTAATCAAATGTGTTTTGTTAAAAAAAGAAAAGAGAAGAGAATCAAATCAAATGTATTCGTTTTGACATTTTCGTTTTCGGTTTTTTGGTTTCGGTTTAATATTTATTTGGGGTTGTCTAGGGTCCGAGAGGGTCTGTACTACTCGGACCCAAACGATTGAATATCAGCCAATAAGAATGTGACACGTATGATTAGTACGAATCCAGTTTAAAAAAGTACGAAGCATGGGTTATTATTAAAATTACATAAATACCCTTAAAACTAAAACTTAATTAAATATTAAATATTAATGACTTTTCCAAAAATAAAAGTATTAAAAATTAATAAGTAAGATTCGATCATTACTTATCATTAAAAACGATCGTCTTCTTTAATTAAAATATAAATCTTTTTCCATCATCTTCTTCTCTTCTTCAATTTACTATACCCTAACCCTAATCATTTTTTTTAGCAAAACTCTCTAGTAATATTTTTTTCTGATCTCTCCACCTTCAACTGGATAGGTACGCCCCATATCTTCTCTCCGCCACTTCAACAACGTATCAATCGTAAGTTCGAGCTCATCGAAAATTAGTTGAATTTAATCTCTTATTTTTAGATGATAGCTGTTGATTTTTGTTTCTGTTATTTCTTCCGATTAATATGATTCATCATGTTTGATTATGATTTATCTGATGTCATGTTTGATTATGATTTATCTAATGGGATTAGCTTTAAATACGTTGGGTCTGATAGAGGGGGAATGATAAACTATATATTTCAACAATTGAAATTAGTGGTGACTTCTATAATTTGTTGGTACAACATATATATCCAATAGGGTCTCGTTTGATTTGTAAGATAACCAAATAATGATTAATAAATCTTATGTTGTGTACTAGTGTTTAATTAATGAGGGTTCGGTGGCGGGTTATACAAGTTTAATTGCATGGTTGGACTATGTATATAATCATTGTCTTCAGGGTCTACAGCATGTACATGTCTTTTAAAAGATGTTTTATTGCTATTGACATATTTTTTCAGAAGTTGAGATTATAATAATGCCCAGTGGCTTAAATGTGAGATTTGAAGTTCAAAATTGTATGGTTCCTCTTTACCTATTTATGATGGTGATAGCGTGATCGTTCATATTCTGATTACAGCGATTACAGTTGCTAAAGTTGCTTAATTCTGATTATAGTCATATCTTGGAAGAACTGAACAGGATAACACGAAACTAGGTACCATGGAACACTGCATCATATCCTGCAGATTTTGTTCCTTGAGCTTGATAACATTCTTGATTTTGTTTTTTCTTTCTTTGTCACTGTAAATGAAATTAGAATTATATTTCATAATCATATTGTCCATAAAATATTTTATATTACAGTTCTGTGTTGGATTGAGATTATTTTCACAAACTTGAGGTTTTTTATGTTTTGTAAATGCTAGAGAATTTATATTATAGCATGGAATTGATCTTGATAGTTGATGGTGTTTTAGCATCTTTTCCGGGTTTAGCCATTAATACGAAGCACATTATGTTTTGGATCAATACGAAGCACACTATGAATTTGTGGGGTATGCGTTTGATAGTTTTTGACGGTATTGGAATTGTTTTGAACACCTTAATGCTAATTGTCTGAGTTGACTGTGGCTTCTTCTTCAACTTGTGACTATTTGTTTTGTAAAGAAACTAAAGAGTAAATAAATTCTTGGTTGAATAGGTGTGCAAGATAGTAGAGGAGGGCCAGAGGTACTCCAAGATGTAAAACGAGAGGCAGATAATTACTACAATACTCAAGGTCAGTTGCGTTGCTAGCGTTCTCGATCGGGAAAGTTGTGCTGTCAGGAGAGGAAATCGATTGTGCTTTCCAGCAGTTATTTATACCAAACAGAGTTATACACGCCATAAGTAGATTATTTCGGACTAGTATTGGGCGCTTTGTCTAAACTTGATACACATGGTTTTGTTCATAAGGGATATGTGTAATCTTGTTGATGAACCAGATTAGATCCTCAGCTTGTAAACCACGTGGATGTAAATATTGTAAACACATCAGTATGAAGTGTGATTTTTTTACTGTGTAATTCTTCATCCCCAAAGTTATTTGTTGCCTCTTTAAAAGTTCATACACACTCAATATAAATGAAGATGATAGAATTTATGTGCTTGTATTTCGTGATAGTAATCCATTGTTCTTGCATAATGACGTCTCTTTTCTAAAATTTGTTCATTGTGTAAAGATTGAAAAAAATCTTGGACATATTAATTAAAATAGCGTTTGCCTTTGAACTGTATCTTTCTAAATGCACCCTGCAAATTATTAAACAAGAAACCAGGTAGACGATATATATTATATTGCAAACAATATAAATGTAACTAATCCCATGTATTTTATTAGAGAGTTCCATTATTTATTTAGATCCAAATGTACATAAGCCAAGGACTAAACTATTTCGACATATATTATATTGCAAAATGCAAGCAATATAAATGTAAACAAATGTACATGGAGTTTATTATGAGGATTCCATTCATTATTTAAATCCAAATGTGCACCAAAAATAAAACCATTTCGACATCCTTCTCGTTATCAGTAGGAAGTCTCAAGCAACAGTATTTACAAGACTCGAATAAACCAAAACAAATATCTTCCTAGAGTGTTTATGCCTCACAATTTACCATTTATGTATAACAAGATAACAAGAAAAGTAATTTCTATCTCAAGGAAGAAGGCCATGTCGACACCAATACATTTCGAAATTTCAAAATATCAACCAATAAAATGATTCCTACACAACAAAATGTGCAACATCCACACTAGAAAATGAATTTATCAAACTTAAGAAAAAAGGCAGCAAAAATTGGCGATTAAAAAACCCCTCAAATCTCCATTGTGTTCCATTTTTCAAACACGATATCCCCATTACGCCTCGCAATTTACAATCATCAAATGGAACCATTCTGTAACTTGCTATCTTTGAAGAATCTACGGGGTGCTTAAAACCGAAATCGTGTGAAGATGGAGATAAGATGTTGGCACTGCAGCTGATGATCTTCTATATGATCTTTGGACTCGGGCCGGCAGGTGACTGAGGGAGTTGCTACCATGCTCGCCAGAATCCCTTCAATTCTTCATCTGTAAATTAATTCTCTTTCATAGTTTCATGACAAATAAATTAAAAATAAAGATAAACCAATTTGGAAGAAAATCAAAACGAAACAAGGAAAGGACCATAAAAGACAAAATGAACTAAAAATTCTATAAATTTACTTTCTTACAAGAGTGAAAGTGTTGTTTCAACATATAAGTGCATGCATATGAAATAAGAGAGAAATAATTAATTAATCGGATATGGATTGAAACTCACGAAATCATTTCTTCAGATCAGGAGCGCAAAAGACTGGGAGCTTGAATAAGTGAGTGGATATATACGACACATCCCATTAAATATCATTTAGCATGCATTTCATTTATTAAACTAAATTGTTGTTTCCTGTTTGTTTTTTCATTTACAAGGAAAGGATAATATGGTTTTAGTAGCTCAGAGTAATATTATCTTTTTTGTGTGTATGAAAGTACGGTGCTTAGTTCACAGATCCAATCATTTTACTTCATTAGGTGAATTCGGTGTGCTTTTCTTTCTTTGTGTTAGATACTAACCGGTCATATTAAATGTGTGCACAGATATGAAAAATCTGGCAATGAGCAATTTGTCACCGAACTTAGCAAATGGATCTTCCATGAAAGAGGTTATCTGAAGGTGATCTATTTCTTTTAGTGGCGATAGATTATTATTTTCTTCAACTTCTTATTATTTTCTCTATTCTTCAAATGCTTGAATTAATAGATTATTTAATTTCTTAGGCTGTCAACCTGAAACACAACAGGATGGCGAAACAGAAGAGCCTTCAATCTATAGGATCAACGATGACCTCCTGGTGATCTCCATCCATCCCCCCCACCCCCAATTACAAACAACAAAAGAAAAAAAGAAATCAAACATATAAAAATACCAGCAAATTAATTACATGGATACGAAGCCAGAGCAAGAAAATCAACCATATGAGTCTAATCACAAATTCACAATCAAACATAAATTTTACCAAATTCACGATATTAAATCAAAACGCTATAATAAGATAATACCTTGAGCCAGTGATCCATTCAAGAATCACTATGTCGGTCGGAAAAATAGAAGTTACTGCGAAATTAGGGATTTGCAGCACTTCGCCCGATCGCGCTGCTTAACAGCCTCTCATCGCCGTTTTCCAAGCGAAAGCCTCTAGGGCTAACACGAAGGAGCATCCGCTATGCCCTCCTGGTGTGAGGTTGGAGAAGGTTAAGGACTCGCCTGGAAAAAATTGTCGACCTAAACAGATTTTGGTTTTGGGAAGAAATCTGTGAGGTTTTGATTTTATTTGATGTGTAATTTTGTTAATTAATTATGATTACTATAATATTTTTTTAATATATATTTTAATTTATTGATTTATGCTTATAAGGGTAATTGAGTAATTTATATAAAGTACGATGTGTGTACGATGGAGTACGGTGTGTTTTTACTGGGTTCGTACATTAAATTTGCAGTTGCTAGTGTCGTACCAGATGATACTAGGTCGTACAAAAAAATCAATGGATGAGATTACAATTTTACTATTTTATACGCACCAGATCTAATCGTTTTGGTCCGAGAAGTACAACTCCTCTCGGACCCTAGACAACCCCTATTTATTTACCATATTAAGCAAAAATATCATTTATTTACTTTGTATTACGGAGTTTATAAAACGTTTTCACCTAAAGGATAAATTATAACCAGTCCTGAGGTAATGTTAAATTGTGAAGAAAAAAAATCCTCATATTTGGATAATTACAACTGCCTCCTTCAACGATGAATTTTCTTACAAGATCATCCTTATGATGTCAAATTCAACATAATCTTCTAGATTCCATGGAATGTTCTCGAGTTTGTACTTGTTTAAAAATGCAGTTTCTGATGCACCACAATCTAATATATACTAGCCAAAAAAGGCATCTTACGATCATCTGGTTTCAATTCTTGGAGCTCGAATGGGATAAAACGGGTGCATAATTGAGAATATTCCAATATTCCATATAATCTAAAAAATTCCACTAAATTTGACAGCGCAAAGATAGACGTGTACGAAATTTCATAGTTAAGGGTGATTGTAATTACCAAAATAAGAGGGAGTTTTTCATAATTTAACCTTGGTTAATATTATATAATTCAGAAAGATGTTTGGTGCTTGATAAAATTTAAATGTTGCTTAAGTTTCATACCAGAAATCGCTATGAGGTAAATACAAAAAACACTTGCAAAAAAACATTCATGTATATAGTTTCGAGATTTAATTTGCAACAAAATTCTAGTTTACACAAATCACACGTGTAAATAGCAAATAAAGCACATGACCTTAAGGCACACTTCTCTAGCACGTATTACATCTTACAAAACATTCAGTAAAACCTAAACCACATATCTAGTGGAATACTCAGTTTCAAGAGTGCATGAATTCAACCATCACTTGTCAACACAAAGGCAAGAAGAACTACAACGATAGTGAAGAAAATAGTAGCACCCGAAAACAACCACATTGCTCCGCTCTTCGGCTTCTCACCAACTCCACCGACCACCTCCTCACCCACTTCTTCTAGAAGCTTCCTCACTCGATCCATGTCATCATCCTTCGCCGCTTGTACTAATCCATTCTGAACTTTCTCGAGTTTATTCAGCCGTTTATATCTCGAATTATCCTTAATCGGCCAAAAAAGACGAGTCATTCTCCACAAAAATACCCCCATGTAGATAGCTACGACACAATCCACGCTGTAATGATGCCGCTCCCTAATCTCTCGTTGCGCACTGTGGGCCACCAGCATCCAGATAAGCACTGACGTGTACCCTCCATACGCCTCCTGCATTTTTTGCTCCAAAATTTAAATACTGAGAAAAAAAGGGAGCTAGTAATATATATATATATATATATATATACCGTCCACGCCATAGCTGTCAAGACTGCAACTAGCATATGCCCACTGTATAGTAAGTCATTGCACCCTCCTCCAGCTCTTTTCAGAAGATAGTACCACGGAGAAGCTCCCTCCGAAACTGTCGGTCGAAGAAAATCGGCTAGAAAATTCATCGACCCCCAATTTGGTTGAAAGTCAACTACGTTTTCCCCACCAACACCTGAAAAGCAAAATAGCAGAGTCAAATCAAGATCAAAAAACAAGAAACGAGAGAGCAGGATGTATATCTATATACCGTAAGCCACGTCATGCTGAATGATGTGACGTATAGCATTGGAATCTTTAGCGTAAGGAACGTAGTATTTCTGGGCCCATGGATGTGGATCCCGCGGGACTTGGAATCGAGCCGATGCGCACCACGGGCGAGGCGAGGGCAGAATTGTCGAGACAAAAGCTACTGCACGAAGAAGTCGCCCGATGCCCATAGTGAACATGTATCTTGCAGCTAGGCCTAAACCAGGGGCTTCGACCGAGTTGAATAGAACCGAGAAACCGAGCATTATAAACAGCATCAAGAAATGGTGCAATCCAATTATACGGGCTCTCATTATTTCGACCAAGATTGGCGGTAATTTCTCGTTCAGCGCCAACAGCAGCCATTGGCCAACATCAGGAAGAGGCGGTGTGGCACTGTCGGAAAATTAGGTTATGTAATGTTGTAGGAGAAATAATACTTTCATTACATGTGAATTAAATTCCACAACCGAGTTCGTTTTTCGGAGGCAACAAACATGAAGTAAAAAATAATTTTTTCTTTTCATATTTTTTTTTCCAACAATTAAGAAAGCAGCTTGTGTTTTAGCAAGCAAATAGATAACGAAGTTGACAAGTGGAAATTTTTACTATATTTGAACTTGCTATATAAATAGTAACAAATGTGAAATTTCTTCAAGACACAAATCAGATCTATTTTAGCATACATTAATTACTCCTCAATTTAGGAAAGTTGTGATCTGTTAAATAATCTACCATTTCAATAACCCCAATCCTCAAAAAAGCAAAATCCGAAACCCTAACATGAAATCTATGCTCTCACAAGGAAAACAAATACAGTTAATGCCCCAAATTTCTCAGTATATATATACATACTTGTGCCAATCGAGACCTAGAACGGCGGTAACAGAGCGAACCGAAATCATTTCGAGGAGGAGAGCTGAGAGCATGAAAATCATCGACAGAATGAAGGGGACGGCGGCGCGTAGCTCCAGTGACCAGTGCTTGTAAAATGGGACACGAATCACGGCGGCGATGGCGAGGACCGCCCACAGTGCCGGCTGCAGAAGCTCGTGCCACGACGGAGACAGGTGGCGGAGGTAGTCTATGCCTACGTACGCTATTGCAGCGATCCCCAGCCCGACGGAGCCTCCGCGGCTGGGGCGGCGCCGCCGTGAGATCGGCGGCGAACGCATTTATCCTTGCGGCGGTTTTGATAGTATAAAGGCAACTATGCTTAATTAACTGCCAAAGTCCAAACTAGTAATAGTCTACCATTTTTCCTCTCAATTTTATTTATTTCTTTTTTCTTTTTTATTTTTTTTTTTTATTTTTTTTTTCCAACTTCCATTTAATATCTGGTGAACTTCATCGAGCAAAATTTAACCACGCAAGTATTGTTAAGTAATATTAGAGTTTCTGTTTACCCCTCAAGTTTACAATGATTTCACATTTGGTCCTCGATGTTCAAAAAAAATAAACTTGGTCTCTTATGTTTCAATAATTTCATATTTTTTGTCATTTTTGTCAATTTACCGTTACTTCGTCAGTTAAGGAAGTGATAGGCACACGCTTGATTCCATTATTACTAATGGGAAATTGACGGAAATGACTTAAGTGTTGGATTTTTGATAAGGGACCAAATCATGTGTTTTTTTGTGAAATTGAAGGACTAAATGTGAAATCGATGCAAACTTGAGGTACCAAAACTGTATTTTCCTATGCATTATACATATGTAGATCGAAGAGAAGAAATTGGATGAATTTGAGTGTGATCGAAGAGAAGAAACACAGAATAAAATAGCAATCCACGCATACATTAGAAGCGATCACTAATCGTTCAAATATATATATATCTTTCAAAAGAAAATTTGATGGCCATGATTCGAGGACAAGATTTAAACATGGAAATAAACACAAGCCTTGGTTTTTACAAGTGATCTCACAACTTACATCTATATCTCAAGTGAAAAAATGTGGGGACAAATACACTCTCTCTTCTAACACAACCAATACAAAAAGAAAACAAATAAAATAAAAATAAAAATTGAATAATAGATATTGCCTATGTACAATGGAATAATAATCTAAGAACCACAAGGTAAGGAGCACACTCTTCCAATTTGAATGAAAAACCATTGCAGAGGATTCGGGCCTTCGTCTTTTTCCGAAGGCGGTGGTGTTGGCAAAGGAAGCTGAGCTGGCAAATTGCGGTGAAATGCATCCACAGCAGATCCTACCCCGTCTTCGTTTTGTATCGATACCGCTATTTCCATTGCTCGAGAGTTTACCTACAAAATTATTCATATATCAATTTGTGAAATTGATAAAATTACTCTCTCTCACACACACACGCGCGCGCGCGCATATATACCTCTGGCTGGAGCATGAATGTAATAGCTTCAGAAAGAGATTCGACGGTGAGCTGTGATACGGGGATCGGAGATGGTCCAAGTCCTTTCTGATAGATTCTCTCTCCCCAGAAAAATTGATCTCCAAAGAACGGCACTATGGTCGTAGGACACTATAAGCATAACGAGTAAAAGTAGTTGCATGTCACGGTTTGACAAAAAAAAAAAAAAAACCTGCAAGTTTGAAATTATCGGAGAAAAAAAAAACTGTCTTACCCCGGCTTTTAGCCCAGTTGCTGTTGTACCAGCTCCACCGTGATGAACCTTTATAATTTCATTTTAAATACGACTGCATCAGAATATAGGCAACACGTTTCTCTCGTACAAAAAAAATAATTAATAATAAATAAAAAATACATATTTCGAAAAACAAAAACAAAAACGCAGCTTCAAAGTTCAAAACTGACCACAGCTGAACACTGAGGAAATAACCAGTCATGAGGGCAATCCACAAGAAGGAAAACATCGTCCGGAATATTTGAATCTGCGAAGAAAATAAATATATTTAAAAAAAAAAAAAAAGTCTTACACATGAAAAAAAAAAAGCTGTAAGAGAAACTTACGAGCACCAAGATCTCCCCACCCTCGATCAATGATTCCTCTTTGCCCAGTATTCTTCAATGCTTCCAAAATAATATTCGTAGTTTTGATCGAATCCTCCAGAGGCTTTTCAAGCAATCAAATATATATATTGTTATATGATCTTTTTATTTAATATTATAAAATTGAAATCATACGAGAAGATGGTTTATATTGTATAGTCCGTACATACCATGCTTCCAAATCCGATATAAATCGGTGGAGATCCCTTTAGTATCCACTCCACAAATTCTTCAGACGGTTGGTATTTAGACCCGAGGTCGTAAAAACAGTAACCAACTACATCAACCAACGGGCCCCAATCTGCAAAACAAGTAATTACACGAGTTGTAACGATTCAAGAAAATAATAAATAAAACAATTGAGCAATTAAAATAAATGATGCTGTTACCATTTGGCTTGGGAACAACGTGTGGGCTCCACATATATCCCGTTGGGAGATGAGAAATCGAGCCGTGGTATGTGCTAAAATATGCAATAGGCGGAAGATTCAGTTTATTTTTTCGGAAATTATTAATGTGTCCTCTTATGCCCCACCATATCAGCAAGTCCACGAGAATATACGACAGCTGGATTTAAAAAAAAAACACGAAGTAGAATTTTCATTAGGAAATCGGGAGTTGCGTTTATCTCATTGAAAAATAAATAAAATGCATTCGAAGAATAATTTTAAAAAAACATACCCAATATCCTGCACTTTGCGGTACACGTGCTAATGGGTGAGGAAATGCATATGTAGGCCTGTCTATTCACCACACTCGTAAGTATATATATATTTTTTTATAATATTTAGAAAGGAAAAAAAAAACCCGAAGAAGTTACGCTTACGTCCAAGGCATTGTGAAGAACATATGCAGGGGAACGCCGAGCGCTTCGGCTACATGTGCATGCCCTGATAACATGACACCAAATATTCATAAAAAAAAATGACAGAGAATCTCAAATGTAAAATCGAATTTGAAAAATATTATAATTTATATAGTTTGGAATAACTAACCGTAAGCAGGGGGGTTCGCAATAATCGCCTGAGCTCTAA